GGATTAGCATCATGGAGGAGTTTGCCATGGTGAGAACACCACATACTTTAAGTGGAGTGGGTCCCTGGCTCTGTCTCCATGGGATGAGATCCTTGTCACAGTAGTCTGTGCTTGGGCACCTCAACCTTTAAAAAGCATTGAGAAGGGGTGAGACTGAGAAGAGAGTGGGGATAGTGTAAATGATTGGGATTCAGAGAGTGAGAGTGACAGAGAAATTGAGAGAGGACATGGGAGATGAAAAGAAGGGTAATGAAGACAGAGAGAGGAAGACTGAGAGAGCAAAGAAGATTGGCAGAGAGAAAATTAAGACAAGTGAGAGAGGACTTGGCAGATGGGAGGAGGACCTTTGCTGGGAGAGAACAGGAAAAGAGATGTAGTCTTCAGAATGGTTGATGTTGAAACCCCCCTCCTGCTCGGGAACCATCTTTTGATGCCCTCTTGGTGGTCTGGTGGTAGATTCTGCTTGCTTCATTGAAATAACCATCCCAAACTTCTCACAGATTTTTCTTTTCCTAGTATGACATTAAGCCAGCTTTGTTCTCAGAAGCAGGGGTGTGCCCAGCAGGTTTTCCTGTTTCAGCCCTGAAAGTTCTGTATCTGGGAAACCTCCAAATATCAGCCATTTTATGACAACTGGTACCTGCTGAGTTACTATTTGACTAAAATGCCTGACTGAAGAAGAGGAATTATTTAATTCATGGTTTCAGAGGGTCTGGTCCATTGTTGCTTGTACCCCCACGCTCTTGGAAAGAGCATCATGGTAAATGGGGGATGGGTGTGCTTAAGACTGCTCTTCCTGGCAGACAAGAGGAGAGGAAATACAAGGGACCTTGCTGACATGTAGTACCCCAAAGACCAACTTCCTCCCAGTAGACCCACCTTCTCCTTTTCTCAACCTCCTGAAAATGCTGCCAGATAAACCTATCAAGAAATGAATCCATTCACTACTCCAAAGCCTCTGGAGATGCCATGGCAGACACACTTGAGTGTGTAACCAAATGTCTGAGTCATTCCTTAGTCCAACCATGTGCATCATCAGAAGTGAGGATGACAGAACCATAACAGAAACCAGAGAGAAAGAGTTAGGGCTCCAGGATAGGCACAACTTCCTGCTTGAAAGCAGAGTTTCTAGAATGGTGCACACAATTTATAGTCTCCAAAAAATAAATAGGCCATCCCACAAAATGGATGTAAATTAGAAAATAGTGACTTTTAATTTGCCTAATTTAGTTTGAAAGAAAAAGAAAGCCTGGGGAATGTGTCCATACTTTGGCAAACTGTTTACCCATCAAGCCCTCCCCTCCAACAGCTCATCACACCCTAGCTTATATTTACATTGGCTATCACAACACAGAGCTTCTCAAGCCTTTCACATGACACAATTTAGAAACAGAAGGAAAAAATTTGCTTCTGTCTAAGTTCACTTGCTTATAATGGTGATCATTTATTTATTCATCGATTAGTTGTTTCAGTCATCAATGAAAGCCACAGATTGCACTCCACTAGCTGCTTACCTCTCGTGGAGAGTTGGGTTGCAAGCAATGCCTTGCTGCACAGTAAGGCAGTATTTTGACAGCAGTGCAGACACTGAAAACTTTTTTTTTTGTCCTCAAATCAGCTGGTGGTTTTGTCAGAAAAATACAAACAGGGGTCAAAGGTGCACATTATTCCAGCTTATTATTCCAGACAGCTCATCTGATAACTTTCTGTTGTGATGTTGTTTCCTGACAAACTTTATTTAAGGAATGCAGAAGGATATGAAATGCGCGTAGGGCCGTGACTCTTCTGAGTCAAGTTTTGAGGGAAGCTGTGTTCCAGCTGTCTTAATTCTTAGAGAAATGGGGTCTGTTTGGGCTACTTTTCACTGGCTACAAATCCATGACCTTCTGGTCAAAACATTTAGGTTAAAAGTGTTTTGAAACTGAAAATATTCAGGATCTTGAAAATGTACTGTCCCAGTTTACTTTCTATTGTGACGATAAACACTATGAACAAAAGCTACCTGGGGAAGAAAGGGTTCATTTCAGCTTATAGTTCACCATTCTTCATTGAGGAAATCCAAGGCAGGAGCTTGAAATGGAAACCAAGGAGAAATACTGCTTACTGGCTTCCTCTCCTTAACTTGCTCAGCTGGATTTTTTACACAACCCTGGTCCACCTGCCTAGGGGTGGCCCTACCCTCAGTAGACTGGGCCCTCTAGTGTCATTAACAATTAAGAAAATCTCCCACAGACATGCCTATGGGCCAAACTAATGGAGGCAATTCCTCAACTGAGGTTCCCTCTCTAAGTGATTCTAGTTTGTAACAAGTTGGCAATAAAAACTAACCAATACTTATACTGATACACACACCATATGATATGCATATATGAACCTGGGGAAACAACTGATTAATAAATTCCATCCAGTATGCTTCCCTCTACATGGTTTATAGCCTATAAATACCATTGCATGACTCCAGACCAAGTTCTTGTAATAAATGAGTCACAGAGAAACTTGGGTTTTCCTTGTTTTTTTTTTTTTTGTTTGTTTGTTTTAAATACTTTTGATCTTGAAAAGTTAGGTGAAGTCAGTATTGGGTATTTTCTTACAGTTAGAAAGAATGCAAAAGTATAAAATTACATATTAACTAAAGAACTTTTTCAATCAAAGATCATCAATATTCTTCTTTGGTATTCATTTGGTTAGGACAGTACACTTTGGCCAAGCCATGTGTTTTGATCCATGCACACACAGGTTTAAAACTGAGAGGGTACTCCTCCTATATAATTTCTATATTTGGTATTGAGTCAAATCTGTTAATAAAAAAGAAAGAAAGAAAGAAAGAAAGAAAGAAAGAAAGAAAGAAAGAAAGAATTTCCACAGCCTGTTCCATTGCAACCCGGTGAGCCTGTAATCACAAACGTGCTAGCTTAAGAAGAGATGGTGACCCTGGAGTGTTGCTTTGTGGAAACTAAAGATATCATGAATCTGGAGTCACCCAGCCCAGTGGTGCTGAAGCCCTGACCGACCAGGTTATGGCTTTGATTCAAGGCTATTTCCATGCTGCCGCCTTTGTTTGTCTTCACAGGCTTCACAGGAATAGAAACTGGTTGGAGATGTGGAGATGTCTGGAAAATGAGACGAAAGAGAAAGTTAAAACTTTCAGGTTTATACTCTAAAACTGTGCAGTTAGGAGGAGTAAAAGCTCCAACACAAACAGAAGAGCAAATGGATTTCCTGTGTGCTAGAGGGGGCTATCCATTTGACAGGTTCTTTCTTGTATGCCATTCCTGCCCAGATGTGGAATATCAGATATCAAGTAACAAAAATGACCATGAAATCCCTTCTAGAGCTCAGTTTAAAGAAAAACAATCATGCTTCAGGAGCCATCATTCAATCTGACTACAGTTTTTTGATGTGTTTCCCATTGCTGTGTAGCTGTGCATCTTCAGAAACTGATAAGGATGCAGGAAGCTTTGGAAGCAAGGTGCGATTTCCTGGAGATAGGAAATGGATATCTTTTCATAGACAGATCGACTGCATATTCAGAGCTTTCATTAGTGTTGCTAAGTCATGATGGAATGATAGCAGATGGCAGATGAAACATATGGCCCACATTTGAGCTTCATTTCTGTATGGTTCCAGCTGACCAAATTCAGCAGGGAGGCTTTTAAAACACATTAAATGTATCAGAGTTCCTCCACAAAGCGGCCCATTTAGTTTAATCTTAGCTACAACCATGATGAGCATTCAGAATAAAAGTAAGTCTGCCTGAGATACTGTCACGATAGTGCACTGCTTGGATGAAAGTGTCATACACCAAGTATGTATTTGCACACCAGTCATTTAACTCAAACATTAGAGGTCCCCCACAAAAATTTGGAAGCTTGAGAAGTTGATTAATTGGTTCTTTATCTTGTCTTTGATTTTCCAAGCTGTTGCTTTTCCTTGGAAGAATACTCTAATTGTCAACTACAAATCCTTGTCATGGAGATTAGGGACACATGGAAGATACTATTAAATTGCTTATGACTAACAAGCCACGAGACAGAATACCAGTTTCTTCCTCCGAAATATTTGGATTGAAATGTTGTTTTTTTCTATGATACAGTGTAATCCTTTATAAAAACAAAGGGGTGGCTTCTTGGTTTACTAAGCATGAAAGTTCTTGGGGGTCTGAGAAGATGCTCTGACCTTGGAGCTGAAGTATTTGGCTCTGTGCCATGCATTATAACTACATCCCTTACCTTTATAGCATTCCCCTTGCTGCTTTTGAAGTCAATCATCTGAGAAGTAGGACAGTAACTCCAGGCACACTCATTGTAAGAAAAGAAGCAATTTGTATGTTGAAAGCATACAGAAGTTATTTTTACTTTCCATTAGTAAACTCCTTCAAGTTCAATTCTATTCTTTCCCTGGGCCAGAAATAACTAAATTCACAATGGGATGTGTTAAATTAATCGCTGGGAGTACAATCTCAAAATAGTGATATATGCCCTCCCAGCTTAGATAAGCAACTTTCTGCTCAGGAGTGTGTCTCATCGGGTATTCTGGAAGAGAAATGGTCCTTTCAACATCAGTGTTAGCATATATGGCCTGAAATAGCCTATCCCAATAAAAACCTGACATATGTAGCATGTTTTCCTCAGTTGGTACTATGAAAGTCAGCTAGACTCTGTTTATTGGCTGTTTATTCCACTATAGCACCAGTTGACTCATCCCAAGCCTTTAAGTCTTGATTATACTTCAAGTTGACTTCAAGAACAGTCCTTCAAGACTTTAAAACTTGTTTTTCCACAAAAGACCATCTTCTTAGCTTTTTAAAAATGAAAGTATCCAAACTTTTATCTCAGTGGTTAGGAGACTCTTGTTTGTACCCTACTCAAAATGATGGTTGGTAATGGTGATTTCCAAGTCTTGACAAAGCCTCTGCCATCATGAGCATGGGATGCTCATTACTAATACTTATGGGAAGTGTGCCCAGACATGCGCTGACATACTGTTGCTTTCTCCTGCAGCAACACCCCTGAGTTCACTTAAGGCCCCTCGAGTGGACACGGCTCCTGTGGTCACACCTCCCTATCAAAGGAGAGACTCTGACAGATACTGTGGCCTCTGTGCAGCCTGGTTTAATAATCCTCTGATGGCCCAGCAGCATTATGATGGCAAGAAACACAAAAAGAATGCAGCACGGGTTGCCTTGCTAGAGCAGCTGGGAACATCGCTGGATCTGGGGGAACTGAGAGGTAAGAGCAATCCTTTCATTGTTTGCTCCCCAACAAGGCTCTCTGCAAACCTTGTGGTTTCTGAAAACAGAATGGTGGCTCATAATATGGTGCCTTAATGCTAAAGGGAAGCATGGGAATCTCTAAAATAATGGCTGAGAAAAATGAGCAGTGGCTAGCTTTAGCATGACTTTTAAGAGCATCTTGGTTTCAAAGTACTTATTTCCACATTTTTATTGACTGCTTTTCAGATCAAAGAGGCAGATCTAGGAACCATTTTCTTTTCTTTCTGTCTATTATTAAGCCCCTTCTCTAGTGAATGCTTTTGCAGATGAGTAGTATAAGAGAAACTGAAGGTGTGTAATGCTATCTTATGTAAGCTTGTGTGTTATGCATTCAGCCAAATGAAGCAATGCTGTGCCCTGTGGCTCACTGCAGCCACCTCCTGCCCCCTAGACATCCCTAGGCTGCTGGAAAACATCTGAAGTTCATATGGGTTTTCACTGGGACTACAGCAGAGGCTTGGAGAGTGTGGAGTAGTGGTGAGTGCTGCAGTGGGTAACATAGGGGCCATGACCAATTTATGGGACTCAGTGATATATCCTGTCCTCAATAATCATTTAAGCATTTTTGATCACATGAATATTTTGTTATCAACTTGATACTGGCAGTGTAGAAACAGATCAAAATTTCATACTACATATTTCATTGTTATTTCCTCTGAAAATGATGCCATGAAAGGTCCTGTTGATCGTATGTTCTCAGCCTGGTACATCATATTTTAGATGTGGTTTTATGAACTGACCAGGAGACCATTGATAATAAGACTTGTAATTTATACAATACAAAAATTTACAAACAAGTTTTGAGAAGGCCACCTGGTTTCAACTGGGTTCTGCAAGAAGAACCTGTGATTTGAATCCCTCAATGTGGTGTTGGACCCAGAAGAGGGAGGGATGCTTCTGACAGTAAATGATTTTAGTGACTATTAATTATAAACGTGTGGTCAAAGGCCATGCTGTGAAGTTTATTGAGAAAGACTTGCTAAGAAATAGGACTTGAGTTGGAGCCAGATGTGCTAGCAGGAAATAAGGATAAGCCAGCAAAATCATGGGTGTACCAAGAGACACAGGATACATTAGCAGGGAACAGTTGTCTAATGCATGGTTCTGGAAGATCCTTAGACTGCTGCATGGATCTGAGTTTCAGGGCCCAGGATGCACCTGCAAAGCTGAAGTTGATGCTGATTCTTCCATAACATTTGAACAGTGCCTAAGATCGAACTTGCAAGAGCTTCGCTTCACTTTTTGTGTGGTTTCGAGTTACAGAAAAACCACACAGTCTTTTCTACTTCAGTATGTTGGCTGACTTTGCATTGTAGAAGGTGTTGAATCAGTGACATGGCTGCTCTTTGTTGGGGGGATTTCTGGTGGTAAAAGTCTTTGTCTTACATACAGAAGTCAAGTCTCTCCATAGCTAAGGACCACCCCCACAAAGTTGCTATTAATGGCAGATAACACGTAAGCTCTGTGGCTCCTTCATGGCAGGGCACTGGAAGAGAAAAATGAGGATTTATTTATTGTCTGTGCCAGATACTATGACATGAAGAAGAATTATTGCTACAGCACATTTTTCTTGTCTAGTTTGAATTATCTGCACTGCATCTTTTATGTGCAACCACATCTTAATGACTTGGGCGTCAGATTCTCTTGCACTAGAGTGGCTTGTCTTTGATATGAAGACAAAAGGATGCTCTTTGTCTTGGTACCTCTACTGGGCTGTGACTCAATAGCATACGGAATGCTGTCCTTGGATCCACCTTTTCTCTCACACCAGTTGATGCTTTTTATATATTTATGCAAGTGTTCAATACTACAGACTGTTGAGGAATAAAGCAACATTGGAAAATTGGCATGTTTTCAGAGATGCACTTGTACATGCTATTTCTGACATAACCCTAAAGCATGATCAATTAATAAGGCAAATATATCATAAGTATAGGCATATCATAACTTTAAAAAATTGGCATCAGGAAGATGGAGGATGATGACGGTGTTGCTATGGGCTAGCTTTTTCATCTCTAAAATCATGTTCATGGTTTTAAATACTACATTAGTTATTGCTTATCATGATATTCCTTTTTCTTTTAAATATTTCTTCCTATTCTCCATATAGATTGTTAGCAACTTGAAAGCCGACTCTTTTGTTAGTTTTTCTAGTTGATAGGAAGTTTCAAAGCATCTAGAATAGTGGAAGACATGTAACAGTTACTCAAAAATTGCTGAATGAATATCAGAGAAGGCCAAACAAAAACAAACCAAAAAAGCCTGGCCCACAATTCTGTATGCCTCATTTCTAAAAGGTCCCCAATTGAATAATTTTCATAAGATATTATTCACATCCTTCCAATTTTAAAAATGTATATTTTTGTACACTTGAATGTATACTGTTATACTTTTATGAGTTTTGACACTGCAAGTGCTGGCATAATTCACACTCCTATGTTCATATGTGACTTTTTTATATCATGAGAAATGTCTGTAGATGTTCCTGGTTAGTCCCAGCCCTCTGAACCCCACATGTACCCCACATGTGAACATGAACACACTCATCCATTATCATTGTTTATACCTGTGACCAAAGATGCTCTTGGATTTTCTTCTACAAGCTTCATAGTTTTAGCTATTATGTTTCATATTATGATATATCTCAAATATACTTTTTGTTTAGTTTGAGGTACAGGGTTGAAATTAATTTTGTTTACACTCATTTGCACAGTGATTCTGAAAATTTTGCTAAATATTTAATATCCATTCCTGAGTTGCCTTGAATTATTTTATTGAAAATCTGTTGTTTATGGGGTTGGAGAGATGACTCAGAAGTTAGGAGCCTTAACTGATACTGCAGGAGACCTGGGTTTGGTTCTAGCATCTACATGGTAGCTTATCACCTCTGTAACTCCAGTTCCAAGTGTTTCAATGCCCTTTTCTGGCTTCTAAAAGCAGTGTGCACACATGCTCCTGGCAAAACACTTAGACATATAAATAAAAATAAATGCAATCTTTTTTTAAAGAGGAAAATCTGTTGATTCTATGTGCATTTATTTCCTGACAACTGTTTTCTCCAGGTAACCTCAGGGTCTGGCATACTGGACTGATTGTTTAGCATTGGAGGAATCCTGAAATTAGGCACTACCTGGTCTCCAGCTTGAAGATGGCATGCCTATTCTAACTCCTTTGCACTCTGTATGGATTTCAGAATCAGCTTTTCAGTCTGTAGGTAGAAAGCTATCTGGACTGTTGAGTAAGAATCAATTATCTGCAGATCAGTGTGGGGGAATTAAATTATTCAAAGCATAGTCACATGATCTGGGATGACTTTAAGGCTTTGGAGCCAGGGCAAATGTTTTGTTTTGTGCATCATTTTTTGAATTCATGTTGAATATTTGATGTTGTTTAACCTATTACAAAGTATAAATATGTAATTTAATGTGTTGGCTGATAATATTTAGACACTTTTATACATTGACTTCAATCTCTGTGGCTTACACATAATTTTCTACCTGTTATTTTCATGTAATTTCATAATACAAACAATGTGCACTTTCTGCTATGTTTGGTGTTCATTGTGTGTTGTCACTGGAAACATTGTTCTGCCTGTTACCCTTAAGTAACAGGTAAAAAATTAAAAAGCCAATTTTCTATGAACTAACAAAGCATTAGAAGTAGGATTGGCCTAAATATTAATTAGCATGTACAGTCAAGCACTGACTCTGGTTTTTTCTAAGAAAACAAATGGTTGCATCTCTACATCTGAATTATAATTTAACAAGGAAAGCCTGTCTCTCTTCCTGAATATAAAGTCTACTATAAAAACAGCTATCAGAGTATAGAATTATGAAATTTAATGGTTGGAAAGTACCCTAGAGTTTTTCTTTATGGTTTAGTTTTTTGTGTTAGCATAAAACATCTATAGAAGGTACTTTCTTATTTACAAATTGTGGCAGTGTAAATTCTGAAACTTTGACTACTTGCATATAGAATATTCATTTGATACGTTTTAATAATTCCTTTAAAAGCTTCAGAATGAGACTAAATCCAGGTTTATTTGTTGTTTAGAGGACTCTAGATTCTTCTGCTGTAATTCTGTCTGAAGACACAGCTTTCAAGCACATTTAAAAAATTAATAATGCTTCTAAGAATCAAAAGAGTAATAGCCCTGTAAGACACATTAAAAATCATTGAATTATACATGTTCTTTCTTTTTACAGCTCTAAAGTCTAGAGCTGCCAATAGGCTTTTCTCTTCTAAGTTGCTACTAGAGCCATAGGTCTAAGCCCTCAATAACAGGTGCACCCATCTCTATGACTCAGCACCTCTGCTTGCAGGTATACCATCTCCATGACTCAGCACCTCTGTTTGCAGGTGTACCTATCTCCATGACTCAATACCTTCTGCTTGCAGGTGTACCCATCTCCATGACTCAGCACCTGTGCTTGCAGGTGTACTCATCTCCATGATGTAACACCTCTTGCTACAGAACACCATCTTCATGACTCAACACCTCCGCTTGCAGGTACACCCATCTCCATGACTCAGCACTGCAATATTAGAACCATGAGCAATCCACTCTTCCATTTAGAAGGTTGAGGTTGAGCAACTAAGATATGCTGAAATACATTTTCAAGCCTTGCTTAGACCTCAATTATATAAAATAAGCACAATTAACTCAGTTTTCCGGAAATAGATTCTTGACAGAATTATGGTATTCTTTTAATAAGTAAATTTTCATATGGAGTTTATGAGTCTATGTGAACTGGAATAAATTATGAAAACCCAAAGAAATCACATTCACTCTTCCTGAAAGTGAGGGCTTGAGAGGTACAGTTCTCTGAGGGGCTCTTACATTCTAACTCTCACTATAATTGCAGCTACTCTGTGGATTGGCTGTAATGGGGAATGATTTCAAGGGGAGGAAGCAACTCAAGTAGGACTTCACATTACAAAAGTGGGATGTGAGTC